CCGTTACCTCGCTGGCCCCACCTGTCTCCAAGTGGAGTTTGCCAAACAGGCGTCAGTAACTGGCCAGAGCCAGGCATGGCCCCAGATCGCAGGGTCCAGAGGTGGCTGAGCTTCGGGAAGACGCCTGCGCCCGTGCTGGGCTCCCGCCAGCGCCTCCGGCCACCCCGCCCTCGGGGAGTAGCAAAAATAAAGACTGCAAAATCTAGCAAACTGAACATCTTTAAATGGGACAAGAGGCTTCAAAACTGCTGCGTTATACGGAAGAAACCTTGGCCGCAGATCTCGTCTGTAACGAGTGTTTGACAGCCATCGGGGCCCTGCTGGCTCAGCCCACACCTCTGGTGAGAATGGGGTGAGCAGGGTGTCTCCTCCCTCCTACAAGGCCCAGGGATCAATGGACAGGTTGAGATCGCGGTGGGCGGGAGGACCGTGATGATATGAGGTGTCAGCTCCTACCAGGGCCTCGGGAGGGGAGGGCAGGGGAGGGACGAGGGAGGACCTCCTTTCGGTGATGAGGCGATGCGACCCTGGGGCCCAGAGGTCCTCCCTCTTGAACTAGGATTTCACTTCTGTGTGCGGCAGCCCCTCCCTTTCCCTCCTGTATCCCCTGCCTCTGCTCTAGCTTCTGCTTTGAACAAATACTGACATTTCCATTTAGAGCTTTTTGGAAGGCAATTTAGAAATATATGTAAAATTTTAAAGTATGCATACTCTTCAATCCATAATTCTACTTTTTGGTATACCTATATTGGAGAAGTACTTTCACAATTTTTTTTTTAAACATGCATTTTCAAGGATATTTACCACAGTATTTGTAACAATAAAAAACAAGGGGAAGAAGCGCTAATCGATGGCAGAATGGCTGAATAGATCATGCTATAACCGTAGCAGGACCCGCCACGCAGCTGGTTACCCCTCATGACATTGCCATTCTGACTATTTTTGACCTAGAAAATGGCAGTTTTGTAGAATGAGAGATATCCCTGTGCCTCTATTTCTTCATCTTTAAAATGGGGACAATCATCGTGCCTCTCACAGGGTTAATGTGAGGATTTACTGCAATACCGTGTGGCCTAGGCTGTGGCCCATGGCCAGAGCCCGGTAACTATTTGCTGATACGTCTGTGTATCTGTATTAACATGGAGAGAGCCCAAAATACACCATTTGGAGAAAATAGCTATATGTATATGCTTTCAAATATCGATGAAGTTATGAACCCATTCATGGGGGGAAAACACGTGTGTGTGTGTGTGTGTGTGAACTCCGACGAACAGGACGAGAAGGCCACTCTCCAAGCCGTTCCTAATGGCTAACCCTGGAGAAGGGAGCTGGGATTGGGGGAGGGTGGGGCACAGGCAGAGGACGTGCCCCGCAGAGTTCACCCAGAGGAGCAGAGCTGCTGGCAGACGCACACACCTGTAAAGGGAGCGGCCCTTCGTCGTGTGTGGGGCCGTTTTGGCCGGCCCGGGAGGGCTCTCGTCTCTGCAGCTCCTGCTGGAGCTTGAAGTCCCAGGGAGAGTTGTCAGGAAGGGGTGACGGATGTAAATGGATGGATGATTAAGAGGTCAGGACCCCCAAAAGCAGTATCTGCAGCCCCGTGAGGACAGACCGAAACCTCTGGGTTCCTGCTGCACCTGGCGTGGATGGTGTGGGTGACCTGGGTGTCCTGGGATCCTGCAGCAGCCGGGCCCTCCCAGGAGCAGACACAGCCAGGCCCAGGACTCAGAGGGGCTGGAGGGGCTGGAGCTGTTGCAGGTCTAGCTTCTGCTTCATACCGAGGAGGTGAATCAGCACGTCAGCCGCGATGCGTGTGACCTGCAAAACCCGTCAGACCTCCCAAGAGTGTCCCTTGTGGTCCCTTAACTGGAAACAAACAAGAAAGAGGATTCTGCTGGGCACGCTGCAGGGCCATCAAGGGGAATTACACGTTTTCCTCTAAATACTTCTGGATTAATTGAACTGTTTTACATTGTGACTACAAATGTAAATACTGCTTGTGAATTAAAAAAAAAAGAAGAAACCTTGGTGAAAAAAAAAAGGGGGAAAAAGGAAAGAAAACTCTTTTATCCAGTGAGATTCAGTGTTCAGTTGTATAGCTAACAGCCTGTTGAGATGAGGGAGAAATCAGGCCTCTCCGCACTGTCACCACCTGGTCCCGCTGCCATCACCTCTCACTGGGCTGCTGCAGTCACCCCCTGACGGGCCTCCCTGCTTCTGATCTGTTCCCACTTCAGCCAGAGTGACCATTTCAAAATGCAAAATAGGTGCTGCTGTGGCCTCTAAAAATGTTCCAATGACTTCTCATTGCCTTTATTGTGAAATCGTAAATCATAACTGCTTACTCTGGTGCTGAAGTTGCTGTAACTCACTCACTCTCTCTCTCTCCCCCCCCCTCTCTCACTCTCTCTCTCTCTCTCTCTCACTCTCTCTCTCTCTCTCTCTCTCTCTCTCTCTCTCTCTCTCTCCTCCCCTGGTCACAGAGCCAGGACTGCTACAGAATTCGTGTGTATAATAGTAGTAAGAAGCTTACTGATCCTCTACTATGTGCAACGTCATGCTAGGTGCCTTGACTACATGACCTGATTTAGTACCCACAGCATCTCTAGAAGCTTTTCCTATCTTTTTTTTTTTGTTTTTTGCGGTACGCAGGCCTCTCACTGTTGTGGCCTCTCCTATTGCGGAGCACAGGCTCTGGACGCGCAGGCTCAGCGGCCATGGCTCACAGGCCCAGCCACTCCGCGGCATGTGGGATCTTCCCAGACCGGGGCACGAACCCGTGTCCCCTGCATCGGCAGGCGGACTCTCAACCACTGCGCCACCAGGGAAGCCCTGCTTTTCCTATCTTTATTCACAGACAAGGATGCAGAGATTTAGGGGACATTGAGAAACAGACCAGAAGTCTTACAGCCGTTGCGTGGCATCCGCAGGACTGGAACCTGACTGGGTCTGGCCCCAAATCCATGAGCATGATATTCAGCATCGTCCATCCTGTGAAGAGCCTCTGCTCTCCTGGTCACACCACCTCTTGAGGGCACGACTGCCTTCCCTCTGGGCTGCAGGCTCCAGGAAGGTGGGAGCCCGGGAGCAGCCCTGGGTTTGCTACTTCACCTCCAGCCCCTCACATCCTGCTTGCACACATCAGGTCACCAAACAGTGTTTGTTGGAAGCGTAGATACGCCGGCACGGTGCTGGGTTCTGGAGTGATGGCTGGGGTCAGGGTGTACCAAGCAAGGTGATCTGTGCCTGGCGGGGCCTATGGTCAGCAGGGGCCGGGGTGTCATCTCACTGTGACACAAGCTGTGATAAGTGCCACGAAGGGCGCTGGGGAAAGTGGAAGGGGGGCCCGGCCTGCCCTGGGCAGGGAGCAGCGGGGCACAGAGAGGCATTCAGGAGGTGTTTGCAGGATGAGTCACAGGGAACGACAGTTCAGCCTGATCTCGCTGCTTCCACGCGCCTCTGCTTAGGGCTTCTCTGGGCTCCGTGGCCAGTAATGGGATAGGTGGGTACTGCCCACCCATCTCTTGGAACAAATCAGTGCAGCAGTAGAAGCATCTTTCTACACGGTGGGAACTGTCCCGCCAGCCAGGCTGCCCTGCGCCCCTCCCCTCCCTGATGGCCACCTCTAGGTCCCACCAGTGTCGCTGCCCGTGGGACAGCTGCCTGGGGGCTCAGCGTTTTCTCAACTCCTAGGAATAGGCAGACTCTTCAGTGTCAAGTAAGGGGTGTGTTTTGGTTCGGTTCTGATGACCCTGGTAGATGCTGAAGCCTGGGTTTGTTGGGAGCTTGGCATGCACTTTGCACAGAGTGCCTGTTACGTGTCATGCCCATCGCTTCTCACAAAAGCCAATGAGGCCGCCCCTCCAAAGATTGGGAGGCTGCGGTGCCATGTGGTCCATCTGTCCAAAGCCCCACAGTGCTCGTGTTTAGAAACTAGACTGTAGTGCCTTCTAGAGAGTTCTGGCTCCAGTACCTAAGCACCAGTCTCCAGCCTCAAGGAGAGAGGTTTCCAAGGGTAGCCACCCAAGCCTTTCACACGTGAGACTTGGCTGGAGTCGAGACCACACCTGCTGGGTTGTGTGCGTGTGTGTAGGGGCCGGTGATGAGTGAGTCCTCTGCCTAACATGCACCCCTCTAAGTGGTGATAAAAAGGGGTGTGTCCTTCGCAGAGGGCTCACCCACCTACCCACCCATCTGCTGAACAGGCTTAGCTCTAAAATTCCTTTTCAAAGTCACTCTATAGCTGTAGATCTAATCACCAAGTTTCGGCTGGTTTTCTGGACAACTTCTACCATAAAGGTTTGTCCTGAGGCCAGTGGGTTGGGTATTGGTGACCTAGATTAGAGGTATCACTGAAGAATAAAGGCAAGTTGGTCATTGTTGCCCAAAAAAGGACTTTCCTATTTCACAAGCTCCTACAAGACAAGAGTGTTTTAATAGTTGCCTTGAGGCCCGCAAGGTAATGGACCTAATTTATCCTTGCCCTTCAGGTGCTGGTGTTTCACCGCAGTGCTGCATTATTCCTGGTGCATTCTAGTGTCGTAAATGGGAGAGAAAAATTGGGTATTTAGTGTTCTTTGATGGTGTTTATAAGTATCCCAATTAGTCATTTCCAAGGATGTTAAGAATTCTGTACATCACCTCACACTGCCTTTCAGGGCTCTGAAAACACAAGGGCGTGGATTCTTGATGGATTCAGTCTTTCTGATTTATTTTTTCCCAAGGTACTTAATCAGGGAATGCAAGTCATTTGCCTTCTCGAAGCTTCCTCTCCTCCCCTGGAGACTCATGGAGTTTTCTCGATCTTTTTTTCCTTCTGCTTCGAAACCCCTTCAAGAACTGGGGTCTGGGCTGAAATGATCCAGAACCTGACCCCTCAAAGTTGCTTTTTCCGTTCCAGCCAGGACGGCAGAGCCTTGCTGCCACCTGGCCCAGCAGACCAGACCCCTAGTCATAGAGGGTGCGTGAAATAAAGGTCCGTCTGTTGTGGTGGTTTGTTCCAGAGCTGGTGATGCTGCTGGAATGGTGGTCGGGCACGGAGTGCATCATCCACACGGACCCCCGGGCCTACCCCAAGTACGGGAAGGAAAACGCCATCGTTGTTCTGAACCACAAGTTTGAGATCGACTTTCTCTGCGGTTGGAGCCTGGCCGAGCGCTTCGGGGTCTTAGGGGTAAGTCGGACGTGCATTTCCCATCTCACGCGTCTCTCTCCTTCAACCCTGTAACTTGTCTTTTCCCTCTCGGTCGTTCAGAGTTTGCAGCAGCATCAAAAGACTTGTTGAAATGTTCTTAACCGACTGCTTTTCCTCCTTGCTCAGAATCAAGTGAACATCTGCTTATGAGTAAGGATTGTGCTTATTCAGCAGTTATGATGCACTGGGCATTTGACGTGCGATTAATGTATTTAATCCTTACAGAAACGCTTGGGAGTCAGGAACTGACACCTGTCCTTTTTGAAAAGCTGCGGTTAAATACCCTGCTAGGGGTCACACAGCTGTTACGCAGATTTGCATTTGAACTTGTCCAGCTTCGTATTCTTAATCTCTATGCTCTGCTCCCTCCCTGGCTGACGGGCAGAATTCACCTCTGAATGTTCATCTTCATGGACGTGAGAAAGCTGAGTGCCTAGGCGACAGCGTTTGACCTGCAGAATTCAGAGTAAATACAAAATCCTGTTTTTCTCCAACTAGTTTGACTTCTTGCATACCTTTGGGACTGGGCCTCCCCAGTTGACTTTTGTCATGGTTAACACATTGAGCTGTGATGGTTGAGCCCGGAGCAAGTACCAGAGTCCTCGGGCTCAGGTATCCCGAGAGGAATCGCGACGTGGACCAGCCCGGGGCTGGGAAAGTTGGAGACCACTCGCACCGGAACTTGGAGATCCTGTGTTGCCCCCGGGAACAGTCCCCCGCAGACAGGCGGGGCTCGCGCACGTCGCACTTGCTTTTGGTGGCCCATGTAGACAGAATCATAGTGTGTAGAAGGCAGGAGTTTGAAGACCAGGCAGAGTAGATGTGACAAGAGTCCTGGGTCAGATTCCCTAGGGATGGTCTCAGTGTGTCCAGTCCCGGACGTGCCTGGGGGTCCCAGAGTTGGAAACGGAACTTTGGGTCCTGCTGGCCTCTGCCTCTTGGGAAGAGCCTTGGCTAAGAGAGACTAAATAGCCTTGGGACACATTTTGTATTTGCTTTTTTAAACTTTTTTTTTTAAATTTATTTATTCATTTATTTATTTTGGCTGCATTGGGTCTTCGTTGCTGCGCGCGGGCTTTCTCTAGTTGTGGTCAGCAGGGGCTACTCTTCATTGCGGTCCATGGGCTTCTCATTGCGGTGCCTTCTCTTGTTGCGGAGCATGGGCTCCAGGCGTGCGGGCTTCTGCAGTTGTGGCTCATGGGCTCAGTAGTTGTGCCTCACAGGCTCTAGAGCACGGGCTCTAGAGCGCAGGCTCAGTAGCTGTGGCGCACAGGCCCAGTTGCTCGTGGCATGTGGGATCCTCCCAGACCAGGGGGTCCTCGAACCCGTGTCCCCTGCACTGGCAGGTGGATTCTCAACCACTGTGCCACCAGGGAAGTCCTAAACATTTTTTTAAAATTTGGGGCCAAAGGTGAGAGAAGGAAATATGCTTAGAAACAGGTTCCAATAATGTCTTTAGGACAAATGATGGCCGTTGTACAGTTAAACTATCAAAAGGCAACTAAGATCATTAGCAGATTTTCAAGAGATGGAAACAGTGTGTTAAATCACTGTTGCTACCTTAAGACTTCTAGAAAACTGGAATGCCTGGGGGTGAGTGCACTGAAAGGCCGCCCTCCCAACAGTTTTCTCCTTTGCTTTCCTATTTGTTCTTCCAGTACTGACGTGATGTCTGTGCAGGTACACGTGTGTGTGTGTGTGTGTGTGTGTGTGTGTGTGTATTCAAACATATTTTCAGGAACAAAACCAGAAATTCTATTATCTACCTTTCTCTGTCGTAGAGGCCTCGGACAGAGATATTAGCTACAGTTCTGTGGCTTTTTTTTTTTTTTTTTAATTTTTTTTTTTTTTTTTGCGGTACGCGGGCCTCTCACTGTTGTGGCCTCTCCCGTTGCGGAGCACAGGCTCTGGACGCGCAGGCTCAGTGGCCATGGCTCCCGGGCCCAGCCGCTCCGCGGCACGTGGGATCCTCCCGGACCGGGGCACGAACCCGTGTCCCCTGCGTCCGCAGGCGGACTCTCCACCACTGCGCCACCAGGGAAGCCCCTGTGGCTTTATTGTCACTGAGAGGAGAGAAGAATGTCATAATCCGAACCCCATCGTGGATACAGATGATTGACGACCGGATCCTTCTTCCCTTACGGGAGAAGGCGTACGGGTGTCTTTGCATCCTGACCGGAACTAGTGCTAATGCCGCCTACAAGCTAGGCTTCCTGGAACGCTGGTTCTTCAAGCGTGCTTTGGGGGCAGCTGCTGATCTTCTGGGCCTCGCAGGCAGCTTGGGTATGTTCATGCGCAGGATGTGAAACGTGTAATTTGGGGCAACAGGAAGTGTGTTGGACTTAGAGGCACTTTCCAGTGGCCGTGGTCCCCCTGGTGGCTTTGTGACCACGGGCTTCTTCTATGCGCGTCTTTCACCTTATTTGCGCTATTTTCAATCTCTGTGGTGTGGTTGTTGTTTACTTTTTATAGATAAATGGGCAGAGCCTCAGTGTGGGTGAAGAATTTGCCCCAGGGTAGGAACTACTAACTCTGATTTCCGAGTTGCTGCTCTTTCCTCCTGGAGGGTGTTGAGAGGAAAAGCTGGGGGAGTGCCTTGTGTCAGAGAACGACCAGGGTGATGGCTGGAGGGACCAAGTTTCCAGTCCTGCCACAGTCCCCCCTGCCCGCCCCGGTTTGTGCGGGGCTCGTTCTGAGGAAAGAAAACCCTCAGTACCACCATGGGGTCAGGGATGGAGCAACGGGACCAAGGAAGCAGGGGCACAAACAGGGAGGGGGGACCTTGGACTGGGCAGGAGACCCGGGACTGAGCGGCGGAGGCTTTCGTGCACTGACGAGTGTCAGCACCCTTTAGCATTTTACAGGCAGAGGCTCTGAAACGCCGATCACTTTACAACTCGGCACACAAGGGTGCAGAGGCACGAAAGTTCTTAAGCAGAATGGCCACCCGCCAACGGCACAGGGACTGCTCGTCTCCAGCCTTGACTGCTTCGATGAGTACCGTAGCTACTGGATTTCATTTCTTACTCTTGAAAACCAAACAACTAATGTCGTGTGCAAGGGCATGAGCCTTGCCTCTTGGTCTGGAGTTTCAGGAACTCCACCCAGCGGGGGGTGGGCAGGTCTCACCACCTTAGGACGACACCGCTCCCCTTCTCACTGGAGCCTGGGTAGCCCTGCTCAGGGCGCCGCCAGATTGTCTGGCCCCCAAGTTCCCTCCAGCAGTGGAGGGACAGTGGGGAGCGGGCAGCAGGTGAGCACCGAGCTCCCTACCCCCCTGCACTGGGGAAGCAGCCGGTGCCGGGGCCGTCTGTGCGCGTTCTGATGCAGCCGTGAGCTGGCAGAGGCACTGGGAGGGAAGGGAGAGGGCGTCGTGACCTTGTGGGGTTGAGCCAGCTCAGGCGGAAGCTCCAGACTGTGTTCTCACGGGGGGGATGTTCTCCCTACGTGGCAGGGCATGGTTTACCACCCACGTGTGTCTCCTGGAGCACCTGAGGTTTACCTGGAGGGCGTGAGGCCAGGGGAGCTGCCTGACCCCTTCCTAAAGCAGCCCATCCATTCCTACTACACTTGAAAGGAACCAAGGAGCATCTTGTTATATGAATTGTTTAGCAGTACTTTTGTCTTAATTGACCTTCAAAAAAACTCACCTGATTCACCTCTTTTGTTTATTTATTTATTATTTTTGGCTGCGTTGGGTCTTCGTTGCTGGGTGCGGGCTTTCTCTAGTTGTGGTGTGCCGGCTACTCTTCGTTGCGGTGTGCGGGCTTCTCATTGCAGTGGCTTCTCTTGTTGTGGAGCACGAGCTCTAGGTGCATGGGCTTCAGTAGTTGTGGCACGCGGGCTCAGTAGTTGTGGCTCGTGGGCTCTAGAGTGCAGGCTCAGTAGTTGTGGCGCACAGGCTTAGTTGCTCCGTAGCATGTGGGATCTTCCCGGACCAGGGCTCGAACCTGTGTCCCCTGCATTGGCAGGCAGATTCTTAACCACTGCGCCACCAGGGAAGCCCCCATCTCTTTTTTTAATTTTTTTGCGGTACGTAGGCCTCTCACTGTTGTGGCCTCTCCTGTTGCGGAACACAGGCTCCGGATGTGCAGGCTCAGCAGCCATGGCTCACGGGCCCAGCCACTCCGCGGCATGTGGGATCCTCCCGGACCGGGGCACAAACCCGTAGCCCCTGCATCGGCAGGCGGACTCTCAACCACTGCGCCACCAGGGAAGCCCCCATCTCTTTTTTTTAAGTAAAATATGTTGAGATCCTTCTGGATTCTGAGGAGTTTGGTTTTTAGAGAAGAAGAGTTATAAAGAAGGTTCCTGACGGGGCATTTTTCATCTTAACATGTAACAACCCAAGAGGAAGTGAGTTGAAATTGAAGCAAGTGAAATTTGCAGAAATCCTTGAGAGGAGGGTTATTAAATGTGAAATTGGATTTGTGGAGAAAGTGATGGGATTCTTTTACAAAGAAAAAAGGGGGAGGGTTTTTAGTCTTTTATAAGCTTTTACCCTGTGTGGTCATTCTGGTGGCCTGTCCCCCAAGCTCTGGTCCCCTCGGAGCTGGCCTTGCCTGGCATGGGCCGGGCACCAAAGGCTCTGGTTATGGTCTTTAAGGGGTTCACTGACTCATTCCTCCTTGGGGTGAGCGTGACTAGTGGACAGGCCAAGGCGTGCAATGCAAAGGGTCACGGCTTCCGAAGCTTCGAGTCTGTTTGCTTTTCTCTCTGCCCCAGTAAAATACGCATGTCCTCCTTCACAGTGGCCCCGAAAGGTTACCTGAGATCACATTTGTTGGGTCTTTGAGCAGTGTCAGGGCCTGGTAAGCACTCCGTAACAGCAGCTGTTCTTGTCCATTTTTATCTGCTGGGTACGTGTGGCTTGGCAATTACCCCGGAGGCCAACTGGGATGTTCTCTTTGGGTCTTTAAAGAAGCCCTATGTGTTAGTTATCTACGGCAGGTGACAAGCCCCAAACGTAGTGGCTCAAA